TCCTGCCATGGGCACTAGCAGGAGCAGAAAACAAGTTTCTTCCTGGTGCTCCAAACCATCAGCAGGTGCAGAGCAGCAGTGAGAACCAGCTGGGGGAGGACATCATGCCCTGAGGTAGCTTGAGCACCAGGGAAGATCCCAAATGGCATAAGGTGGCTGACAGAGTGCATCTCTTGTCTCTGCCTTCCCATCACTCTCCCTTCTCTCCCTGCACCTGGACAGGCAGAGTTTATTCAGGTCTTTTCTCTGAGGCCTCTCAGCAAGGGGATTCTCCTGACTCCTCACCCCTCTCTCTCTGTACCTTTCTCTTCTCTCCACCTGCTCATGGGGACCACCTTAGTCCTTGGCTCCTGGCTGTTGTAAGAGACATCTACTGCAGGTTCCCATCTCTGTAGCAGAGATTAAAGTTGGGCATTCTGTTAGCACAACTGCACCTTGGAGTGACCCAGGAAAACCCACAGCATGCTCCCCCCTGTCACAGTGCCTTTGCTCTGCCCGGGCTGCAAAAGGTACACATGGATTAGAGTCATAATGCAGGACAAGAAATCTTCCAGAGCCCTTTTATAGGTCACCCATGAGACCTAATAGTTTTTATGGCAGGAATATTTTTAGGTGCTTTTGCCCTTGCTTGAGTTTTGTCTGTTAATGGGAAACTTGAAGGGGTTTTGTTAACTGGGACATGGTTTGGAGGTGTTACACATATCAGTTCACCTCTCCTTTTTAGCAGTGCTAGTAAAATAGCTTGAAAATACCTGGAAATTAAGGGCTGAATGCTTGCTATCTATCAGGAAATGTCACTGAGTGCTCTGTAACAGGGTAAACCTTTCTTTTCAGGGCTATATGAAAAGCAAATCATTCACAAAGCTGCTGCACAGTGTGTTTTGTGCCTGCTGGGGACTTGCAGCATGAAGCCCCTATGTTCACTGAGGCACAAACCCCTTTATGGCTTTGGTTTTAAACCATCAAAATTATGCTTGTCAGACACTTGTGTCAGTAATGCTTCAATGTATAGTTATTTTGCCTTGGTTTTTTTTTTGGTAGCAGTTAATTTAAACTAGCCCTGTCTCTCCTTGCTCTTCTATGTGCTGTTTGAAGCAAACCTGCTTCACAAAGAATCAAAAACCCTTTCCCCAGGGCATTATCTCAGTGTCACTGATGCAGGAGCTGACGTAGCATGTCATGCCCACGTCTGAACAGAGATGTGCATTCTACTGCCTGAGAGCTGAAGTGAAACCTAAATCCTCCCTGAACAAAACCTGCTTCATTCTGTGCTTTATCTGTCACTGGCACTGGAGCAGAATAGTGTAAGGAACAATCTTGACTTGAAAACCTTCCCAGGAAAACATGGCTCTGTGCTACGTCTGTGACTGAGGTTCGCTGCAGGGATATTGGAATTGTAGTTGGGACAGCAGAGCACAATAACCCACACTGTTTGGGAGAATAAATACTGCATTAATGTCTCAGTGGCTAGCACTATGCCCTGAAACATCAATAGCCCACGTAGTGCTCCCCTCTGGCTGCCTCCAAAAATAGTCCCTGTCCCAGCAGAGCTGGGAAGAGCAGGAGGTATTCTTGTCACTCTGCTCTCACCGGGATAACCCTGCGGAGGTGGCCTCTCCTTAAAGCAATGTTACTAGTTCCTGGCTGGAGGAGAACTCTAGGTCACCCTGCAGCACAAGTGGAGTTGTCCTAGAAAGTGTTCCCTCTTCCTTTCCCTCTTTCTTTCCCTCCCAGGAGCTGGCAGAAGTGGGCCAGCTGCCAGTGCAGCTCGAAGCTGGTGAATCCTATTGCTGCTTTCCCTAATGGGGGTAATTGGCAATCCCTCCTGACAGCCTGGCAGTGCCAGTTTTGGGACTACTGCCTTGTCACCATGTGTCTTTCTTGTGCTCTGCTTCTGATCTCATGTTCCTTAGGCTGGAGTAGACCCCTGCTTGTCATCCTCAGGGAAGCAAAACCCCAGGGAGGTCACTGGACTTACCTAGAGAACTTCCCAAGCGCAGCAGGGACGAGACAGCACCTTTCAGTAGATCCAGAGAGGAAATTCCTTTCTTCAACCACTATCTTTTGGAATTAGTGGTATTTTCCTCTCCAGCCCTGCAGACAGGGCTTTGAAGGGTTGTTGTAGGTGCACATCAGTGCTTGGTATCCTGAAGGGAGCACAGCACACTCGACCCTAAAGCTGATTTCTTTTCTGCTTGAAGACCTTCAGGTCAAAAACTTCCTTTCCTCAGGTATTATTGCTCCTTGTAGCACAGGTGATGCCCTGGCAGGTATGGAATGTTCTTGCCTTTCTAGTTTCTGTACCTGGCAGCTTCTCTTTGTACAAGACCAGAGAATTTTGAGTTTCTGGTGTCTTCATTCAGTTCAGGTTTTGTGTGTCTCAGAGTGTTTTCATGTTTGATATGGAGAGACACATTTTAGGTGTCAGTTTTCTTACAGATAAATAAAACCTCTGTTTTGTTCTTGGCCTTGTTCTTATTTATCAGAGTTATGGCTAGCATCGTCTTGTAATTAATTAGTTGACATCTCTCTAGCTTCATCCTTTGGTCAGCACTTCTGCAAAGCTCAGGTGTGTGTTGGGATTCTGCAGGCACTTGGAGAAGGCCTGGATGGATTGGTCTCTCCTGGTTGTGTGTTTCCAGGTGAACACACACGTACTGAGACACTGTGGTTTCAGTATTCTTACAGCCATGGGTTTTGTGTAACTCAGAGGTTTGTTCTGGTAATGTTACAGGCAGAATGAACTAGCTGTGTTCCTGCCCCAAAAGCATCCCACAGGGGGGAGGTGTGGGATCCTCCTGAATTTAAAACCCCTGGCCTTGGAAATAGGATAATATTAAGCACCTCAACTTGCCAAATGTTTTCCCAAAGAGTTGTGCTGTAACTGTTGGGAAGAGCAGGTTCAGCTGACCTCTGGTTGCACAAGATGTTTTGTTCACTTTGATCAGAGCTGTGAAATTGGCTTAATTCTTACAGCTTCAGGTGCTCCCATGGGCAGGGCTGGCTAGTGCTGAGGGAACTTTCCCTGCCATCAGTCTGGTGCCTGGGGGCCTGTGGCTGGATTATCAGCTCATGTCCTGCCATCACACAGCAGGCCACGTGTGCAGTGATTAGGGAGCTCGGGAGCCAACAGGCTTTAAAGGTGGTCACTGCGGCACCAGAGCCATCTGCTCGGCCAAGTTCAGCTCGGGCACTGCCCTGATCCTGCCTGATCTCTCACAGGCTTTAGGGCTGCTCTCACTAACACACAGGAATTACATCACACTTCTTCTGCCATAAGACAGGCTCAGTGTGGGAAAGGAACAGCTTCCACTGAGCTGGAAAACTTAGGCTGTGTTCAAATTCTTGCAGTAAGTCTGTATTTACAAGCTGCTCTTTTGTTTCTTAGCCACTCCTGACATCACTGGCCACAAGCGAAGCGAGAACAAAAACGAGGGGCAGGAGGCTCTCATGTACTGCAAGTCTGTGGGCTTCCCCCACCCCGAGTGGGTCTGGCGCAAGAAGGTCAACGGGGTGTTTGAGGTAAGCACAGGGGGGTGTCAGACATGGATCCACCTGGCCAAACCACCAGGAGGGGAGGAAACCAGCACCTTGGGCTTAGGGATGTGCTGTCTAAGGGCCTTGCAGCTAATCAAACTGCAGTTCCTCAGCACTCACACACACTGAGTGAAGCTGAGCTGTCCCAGCAGCAGTGAGTGTGGATGGATGAGTAACAAATGGGTGTTTAGGTTGTTGGCGTATGAACAGAGCTGCTCGTGGCATTGCTGGGCAAAGTTAGCAACTGCCCAGAAAATAGTGTTCAGGGTATGTGCTACAAACTGCAAGACACAAATTAGGGAAAATGATGATTTAAAATTGCGTTTGGTTATAAATTATCCCAAGTTTTCCAGTTTTACTGGTTGAGCTCACAAAGACTTGACATGAGGAGGTGGCAGTGATCCCTATCAGTGCCTCAGCAAACATATTTTTTCCATGTAGCAACTGATCTGGTGAGCAGGAAAATATGAGCAGCACTGGGAGTAGCAGGAGAGGAGCTGGAAGTTGCTAACCCTTCAGCACAGCTGTTTTTGTGTTGCTGTATGAGCTGCCAGGGAGGATAAAAAATGTAAAGCAAATAACAGGATGGGATGATTGTTCACTGCTAAGTGTGGGCTTGAATTGTTACGGGATGGTGCTGAGTGAGTGACCAAGTGCTGTGAGTCATCAGAGCCCTCTGTGGTGATGTGCAGGTTTCCCTCAGCAATTTTTGGAGGTGTTTTGCAGCAGAGCTCACTGTAGTGAGACAGAACAAACACTGGGCGTGGGCTTCTCTGTCATGTTAAGGAGCAAAAATCCCTCAAAGCTCTTCCAGTTTCCATGACACACAAATGAACTTCAAGCTCTTGTTCTTTTCCATCCCTCTCCCTTTATCAGGACATCAACAACTCCTCCGGCAGATTCTTTATTTCCAACAAAGAGAACTACACTGAGCTCAGCATCACAAACCTACAGATCAACGAGGACCCTGGCGAGTACCAGTGCAATGCCACCAACCAGGTCGGCTCCGTGTCGGTCACGACCATCCTGCGCGTGCGCAGCCACCTGGCTCCACTCTGGCCCTTCCTGGGCATCCTGGCAGAAATCATTATCCTCGTGGTCATCATAGTTATTTATGAGAAGAGGAAGCGGCCGGACGAAGTGCCGGACGGTAAGTCTACCCAGCGCCGCCTGTGAGGAGCTCAGCAAAGGGACAAGGGAAAGCAAACCTGTGGAACACAACCCAGTGGGGCCTTGTGGCAGCAAGGAACAGCAGCACACTTTGTCCAGCTCCAAGCTCTTTGCTTTCTCATCTGTTCCCTCTCCAGACATTAAGCCCAGAGGGTCCAAATCCCAACCCTGGAATTCCCAGAGATCTCAGACCGTGGGGTGGGAGGGGGTTATTAATACCTTTTAAAGCTTTTCTTGCACGAGGGATCTACTGCTCCCATGGCTTTCCTGCTGCAGGAGCCTGAGCAGTCCTGCCCATCAGCCCTGAGGAGGGTAGGGCAGCACAGGGGGAGAGCTGGATGCACGCTAATCCCCGTGGCACTCTCCTTGGACACTGGGCAGGTTCTGCAAGGAGACATTACGCTTGAAACTAAGGAGTCATTACACTCAGAGGGATTGGGAGCAGAGAGATGCTTCAAACTCAATGTTTCAGTGTTCAAAGGGGAGGTTAGGGCTCTTACTCTGCTGTGTAACTGAATTTTTATTTAAGGAATGCTCTGGAAACTAGATGTAATTGTCATAGCCACTGAGTTAGATTTTTTTATAAGGATTAGGTTTATATTATCAGGTTTGATGGTAGCAATAGTTAGTTAAACTGTGTTTGGTACATAAAAATAGTAGTTACTTTCATCTGTGAGCTGCTTCTGGACACCTTCCTCTTTAAAGGTGGGGAAGGGGCACTTGCAAGATCCACACTGAGAAACAGGCTTTGACCTACTACTAGCTGCTTACTACAGTGTGTAGCAGAAAACCTCTCCAAGGACTCCTTGGGAGAAGCAGCTGGAATGCCATCGTGCTGTAGGAACATGATGCATCCAAGCAGTGCAGCAGGTGCCCAGACAATGCTTTGGAGTCCGTGGAGGGCAGTGTGCTGGGCCAGGACGGGCAGCACTCAGCCATCAGCACCTTCCTGGGCCAGCCAAGCCCTCTGGAGTGGGAGCTGTTCCAAGGCAGCTCCCAAGGGTCGCAGCCTGTGCGGCAAGGACGAGCTGCTGTGGAGCTGCACGAGGGACTGTGACAACGCAGCGTGACGTTTGCCTCTGGGGATGAAAATAGAGGTGCTGAAACAGTGATCTGCTGGTGAAGTGTGGGCAAAGCCACCTTCACAGTGCCTGACACGTGCTTCAGAGAGGGGAAAGAGAGGCTTATGAAACAGATAACAAATGGGAATAGTGGGAGAATGGCTGATGCTTGGATCACTTCTGTAGCAGATCCAAACTGCACTAGTGCATACCAGCGAAAACCAGCTTTTGATTGTAATCACTTGAGTAGCACTTACTAACTGCTTACAGAGCATGTGTGGAGACTGTTCGAGGTGTGTAGCCAACAAAGTAAACTGTAGTGCATGTTCCTCTGCCTAACTAACAGCTTCCCAGCCGCTGAGGGGTTTGTACTGCACACAGTGTAGCCTCAGAGTGGCCTCAACCAGCCCAGAAAACTTGGACAAGACAACTTCAATGTTCTCTTGCATGTACCTCACCTCTGTGTTGGATGACTCCTCATAGTTCCCTGTGCTTCAGGGTTTCATTGATGAAGTTTCACAAGGACCAAAACAAGGTATCAGTAATATGATATGTAAATATTCCCTGCAAACAGCCTCAGATGGATTGAATCCAACAGAAATTGGCTTTGAGGTGACCCAGTCTCAGCACAACCACAGTAGTGGTGCAGCAAAGCTGCTGGTGGAGGTGAAGAGTTCACTGCCGGTTTATTTCCAAGGCTGGAGTTTTCCTGGCTGGTCTGGCTGCTCTTGAGATGCCCGAGGGATCCAGGCTCATCCTCTGCCATGGAGCTGTCCAGGATGATGAGCCAAGGAACTGAGGTTACTACATTGCTTGCTCAGACTGCTGTTGTTCTGAAGGCAGCTAAGCTGGAGCCCTGGAGAGTGACACCTCCATGGGGATGTGTCGTTCAGCCCGTACCTGTGTGTTAGGTTTGCCTGGATGAAGGACTCGAGTCCTGCATTCCTTGGGGACTCCTGCATTTTCCATACTGGCGCTGAAGCTTTCCGTGATGCGGTGGTGGGAAAGGCCCTGTGGGCAGGGCCACGGGAACCTGCTGATTCCCACCCGTGGGTGTTTGACTTGGGTTAGCCTTCAGTTTGTTATTTGAGAGACAGTGTTACGAAATGCCAAAGTTAATGCTGGAATGCAGTGGTGTGCCTAGAGTTTGGAATTGCAGCTCTGCTTCCAAAGTGATGCCTGAGTCAGAGTGGGTAACATCCCTGAGCCTGTGGCCAAGCCAGCAGCTCAAGCAGGTGATGGGGCTGAACACCACGTTACTCCACACAGGTATTACTTGGCAGCAGCAGTGATCTCTGTCAAGTGGCTCCTCAAGTCCTTCTGGGATTGGTGTGATGGGATAAGCTCTAAGGCCTGTAGTCGTGGCAGAACTTCATGTGAAGCTGCTGCGGCAGTGATAGAGCTGTCTGTGCTCTTCCTGCTGGGATGTGGATTTCCTCTTTGGACCACTCCACATTTAGACACTGAAATTCCCTCATTCTCCCCCACTATCTCCCCATGGCATAATAATTCAGATTCTACAGCCAGGTTTGAGGATGAATGGCCACTGGGATCAGTGCCCAGTTGGGGTACAACTGTTGTACCTGTGGGCTCAGCCCTCTGCAGTGCTCCACAGGTCTACCCCAGGCTGTCTCCCACCTTCAGTCAGGTTTTCCTTCCCCTGGAGAATCCTCTGATCTACTGGCCAATATCTGTCCTGTCAAGAGGATCTTAGCTGAGAGGTTTTCAGCACACTTGTGCAAAGATGACTTATTCAGGCCACATGGTAACTTAGCCTGTATGCAGGAAAATCCAAGGCTTTTGGAGCTGGAGGAGCAGTTAAATGGAGAGCCAAAGCACACCTGCAGCACCTGACTGGTGCAGTGCAGATGTGTGCAGCAGAGTGTTTGCCTTGGGTCCTGCTGAGAGCTGCAGGTGCCCTCGCTGTGCTCTCACCTATGCCATCCCCAGGTAATGTTTCTAGGGCTGACAACACCTACACAGGTCAGAGACAGTGGGGGATGTGCTGGGCTGTCCCCTCGGGTGGGACCAGCCTGGTGCTCAACAGAATTCCCCAGTTAGTAGTGGGGGATGTGACTGGTGGAGAGAAATGTTCTCTCTGGGGGAGAGAATTCTCAGGTGTCTGGGATGTTTTCCAAAGTGCCTGGGAACTCTACCTGGCCAGGCCAAATAGACAATGGAATTAATTCCCTTTCCTTCTCATCTCTATGTCTGCAGGCTCAGCGTGCCAAGGCCCCATCCCTTGGTGGCTGGGCAGGGTGACAGATATCCTGGGTGCAGTTGGAGCAGTTCTCCATTTACTGTGGAAAGAGGCAGCTAAGGTTTCAGAGTCTGAGGGATCAAGGGCTGGTGTTACAAGGCACTTTCCCAACGTGAAGGTGTTCCCTCCCTCTGGAAGTGCTGCCACGCAGGAAGAGCAGGGCCACTCCCTTAACTTTGGCATTTCCTGACTCAGGTGTTGGTTTTGCATGGACCTTGCTTCTGTGTTGGGTGGAATTGCTGTTTGTGCCTCGGGCCAGGGCTGCTCAGTAGCTCCTTTGCTATTATTTCCTCCTTCTCAGAACTCAGATTTGTGACTTTACTCTTCTTCCTGTTGCTATACAGCAGGAAAAGGACCTTTGCACCCCTGAAATCTATACTTCTACCAAAGCAATGCAAAGATGGCATTGGGGGATGCCTGGCGCGGGGTTTGCCGTGGTGCCTGTGGTTTAGGGGGTTCTCACCTCCGACCAAATCCGTGCTGGAAGGAGGAAGGCAGGGCAGACTGCGCTTGAATCCCTGCATCCTTTCACAGTGTGTCTTGACTTGCTTTACACATGGTAAAGCAACATCCAGCTGGCATCCTGTTCCCAGAGAGCAGCCAGGGTTGGAAAATCCAGGGCGTGCAGCTTCCGTGGCTTTGGGGTGAGCACTGCATGCACAGCATGCCGAGGGCATGGGCTGCATGCACAGGGAGCTGCTGTGGGCAGGCACTGTGGGGCATCCTGCTCCAGAGGTGCTTGGACTTCCCTGGGCAAGGAAAGGAAGCAAATAGCTTTGCTCCTCTGTGGTAGAGCTTGAGCTGCTTTGGTTTGATAGCTGTAGTGATCAGTCATTGACCTGACTGTAGCCTACCAGAGGTTCCTGAAGGAAGTGGTTGTTCTGCTGTTGTTGGATCAAATAGCCCAAACTTAGCAAAGAATGCTGGTCTAAAGGGTGTTCTCTGGGGTAAGTAGAAAGTAAAAACTCCTTGGCTGCATTCTCCATAGGAATGTGAGCAGTTTTTACTTGAAAATCCATGTTCTACAGGATCTTGAGTCCAAAGCCATGAGGTGACTGGGTTATAACATGTCCCTTTGCATTCTTCCCCCCTCATTTCTCAGCCTAATCCGGAGACTCCCCGTCAGTGTTTTCCTCAGGGCTCTGCAGAGGCTCCATCCATATCCCCACATTCTTTCTAACCCTCTTTTGTTTTTTTTCTTGACTTTCCCTGTTCCTGCTATTACTGTAAGTAATTGAAAGAAACAAACTGTTTTCACTGCAATGCTTTACCTTGTAACAACTTGATTTTTCTGGGTTTCTTTTTTCCCCTTATTATCCACATTTTTCTTTTCCACGCTTAAAATTCATCAGGGGGAGAAAACTGTCAGGCAGGTACACAGTGAGACTAACCATCAGCTGTTCCCGTGGCTGTATCCCAGTGGGAATGGCCCAGCACAGGGTATGGTAACACAGAACCCTGAGCTGCTGCAGGCTCTGGCTGCTCTTGCTGAGCATTTGAGCTTAAACTGAACACCAGTTGGGTTTAACCAGGCTCCAGCTCCTGCTGATCCACACGGGAGCTGAGGGTGGCCACGTGCCGCGATGGGAATGGAGCTGCTGCTCTCCACTCCTCTCTGAGCAGGTCTCCTGTTGCCCAGAGAAGCTGTGCCTGCCCCATCCCTGGAAGTGTTCAAGGCCAGGTTGGACAGGACTTGGAGCAACCTGGAAGGTGTCCCTGCCCATGGCAGGGGGTGGAATGAGACTTAACTTTAAGGTCCTTCCAACCCAACCCAGTCTGGGATTAATCTTTTGCATGTTTTAAAGCACAAGCTGAGACATAGAATCCCTTTGGATGCAAAAATTGGAATCTGAGTGCTGAAAGAACCCATTAGTGTTTCATTTTTAACTTCCACCAGTCACAAAATGCTACCCAAGATGAATTTGATATTAAAAATAAATCCTGTAGCTTTCCAAAGGAGGTAAAAGAAACTGACATCTAAAAGGGCTTAGGAATGCAGGCTGAAAGTAACCAGGAAGGGCACAAACCACACTCCCAGGCAGTCAATACAAGCGCAGGAGCTAAAGCAAATCTATTTGTCATCACCTTCCAGTTTTAATGCCCAGATATAGTTTTGGAAGGACTAACTTCATGTGCTAAAGACAAGCAGCAGTTTACCTTTTTGGTTCAGAAATGAGAGATTTGGGGCACTCTATGCAGGTAATCCCATTCCCACTGGAAAGGGCTGGCCGTGGGGGTGTTTTACTCCTGTATTCTGTAGTCAGTGGGGTTTTGGAGCCTGCAGATCCCCCACACCCTCGGGAATTGCTGCAGGAGGAGGAGGGTGTATGTGTTCCCAGCCCCAGCCCCAGCTGGCTGGAGCAGAGCAGCGCTGGGAGGATGTTCACCGCAGCCGTAGGTGTTCCTGCCTGGCACAGAGCAGGGCTTGGGCTCAGAGCTTGGGAGTTGTGTTGATCTTGTCGGTTACTATGACTTCTTTTTTTTTTTTTTCCCCCCTTCAATTGCATCATACCCTTAACTCGGTGGTAAGTGCGATGTGCATGCTTTGGAGTTTGTTTAACCTCCGCTTCAGTCTATACAGCGCACAAGTCATGACCTTAACACTCCTTCCTTGAAACTTCCTCATTCACTTTCACGACTAATTTGGATTTCAGTTTGCTGTTTTTAATCTTTTCTTTAGTCTGATTCTGTACTGGTTTTTCTGTTGTTCTGTTGCCCCTGGTTTCGCTGAGGGTTCGGTCTGTGTCTGTACTGTACTGGGGAAGCTTTTCCAGCAGTTAATGCCTGACCAGGATAGTGACTCTCCGAGGAATTCTCCTCAGGCTTTTTCTCTCTGGTTAGGCTATAGATGGGCCAGGGATGAGTGGTGGGGATCCACCATCTAGATTAAGCATTCCAATAGGCATTTTTTGTTGGATCTCTAGGAAAACACCCCATGGCAGCCTTCAGAAACATGAAGCTTTTATTATTTTTTTTTAAAACACAAACCTCCTGATCCGAAATAGACATTTAAATCCTTGAGCAGAGGAGGGCAAAAGGCAGTTTCCCAGTGAGACGTCCACGGTGCAGTTGGGTATTGCTGAAGTCCAGCCAAACAAACTCTCAAAGCTGTTGATGATGCTTCCTAGAGAGCAGAGATGAGTCTTGCAGCCGCGCGGCACCGGGGGCAGCGCTGGCTGGGGGGGCCCAGGGCTCGTCCCACCCGGAGCTCGGGCTGCTTCCAGAGCTGCTGATTCCCAAGAGATGTTTGTAGAAGGAAGTTGTAGATTTCCTCTGCTGTGCTTTGTGTTTCAGTACCTGAATGTGTCTCTGTATATCTCACTGTATATACAACAGCACATTGATGTCTGGCTGTCCTTCCTAGTCCCAGTTCTCTGTACCGTGTCCGATAGTTACTGTTGCTGGTAATGGAATTCTGTGGACACTGGTGTGTCGCTAGTCTGTTATTTTGGCTGTAAAGCTCTTGGTTTGTGGTTAGTTCTTTATTTTTGAAGTATTTTTTGTTCGGGTCACTGTCTGTGCTAGCGGTGGCTTTGCCTCTCCGTTGCCTTGAAGGTCCAGGTGGAGTAATGTCCCTTTTCCCGACATTACTCCTGGCGTGTGCTCATGCGGATGCCTACACTGTAAGACTGTAACTTCCATAACTGCTTCATGTGCACTAAGCACCCTTGTGGAATCCTGCTGAGAGTTTCTCAAAGACTTCTGTGAAAAATCCCTCCAGCATGAGGTGGGAACAGCAACTATTGAGTGCCAAAACCAGCATTGGTCCCCCCAAATCCATCTGTGGGAAGTTCACTTTCTGGATTGATTTTTGTACTGCTGTTTAAATGCATCTCTGTCTTCTGTACTGTAGCTTGGGAGAAAACGTGGGGTTTGACAAGCCCCTAAAACATCCAATTGGTCATGAAACAGTTAATGTGAAACATTCCTCATTGGCGGATCCTTTTTCCCCCCAGTTCTTCTTAAAAGAGAATAGTTTTGCCAGGATACGTGGGCAGAACGATGCTGTCAGTCTGCTGCAGCTGAAGTGTGTGTGCCTGGAGGTGTCCCAACACCCAGACTGCTCCCGTGGTGTTGGACACACACACAGGGCCCAGGGAGCACAGCTGGGGCTGCTGCAGCCTCTCCTAACCCAGTCCCTTCCAATTAACCACGGAGAAAAATGGGGGGGTAAGGGTTGTATCATCCCTGGGAAAATGAGCATGGGGCTATGTACCCTTTGGGGGGTATATACCAGGAATTACTCATCAGCAGTGGAAAAATGGCTTTAAAATTAAACTATGTAAAAAAACAACCAAGTCAATGCAAGCAAACAACCAGCAGGATTTTACAACTGAACCGTTGGTTTGTCTCCATCAATTTTTTATGAGATTGAACCACTGGAACTTGGGGACAAGATGAGTCTTGACCATGTGGCACCAGTCTGTCCGCTCCAGTTGCAGTCCTTCATGACAAGCATTCCAAGTGTTAACTAAACCCATTGAAGCAACATACCTGCCATTAAACCCGAATCCAGAACAGTAACTCCATGAATCCTTGCACTCCCGACTGGAATGGCCTTTGATGCTGTAGATAGTTCGGTTTGCTGCTCGCAGTGCTGCTGTGGTGCTGTGCAAACACTGACTCTCTCTTTCTTTCCTTCCCTTGTCTTTCCCTGGATCGCGTCGGGATTCTTGCTGCAGATGATGAACCAGCTGGGCCAATGTAAGTGTGTTTGAAAGGACAAAACGCTCTCTGGGTCCATCAGGTGTGGGAGGTGAGGGTCGATGTACCACGTGACATTATTCTTTCTTTCTGCAGGAAAACCAATTCTACAAACAATCACAAAGATAAAAACTTACGCCAGAGAAACACAAATTAAAAATGCTCATCATGTAAGTATGCCCCGTGCCCGGCTCGGGACGGGCAGGCCGTGCCCTCCTCTCCCTGTCCTGCTTGGGGTGTGAAGCAAAACGTGTTCATGGACTGCGCTGGGGATGGCTCTGGCCCTCTGGGGGGTACCCAACATTGATTTCCTGACCCACGAGGGGAGTTGAGCGAGCCACTTGCTGACAGAGCCCAGATTGCAATAACCCCAGTGCCCCCAGCTCCGTGTTAGCCCCGGGGCAGCTCCTCGCGCGCTGTGCCGCTCCCTCCTTCACCATTGACTAGCACCTCTTTCTCGTTTCTTTTTTAGAGCTTTAAGTTTCTGAGAGACTGATGGCAATATGACCTGCTAAATTTAAGGGTTGGAACTCTTGGTTCTAGAACTCCAGTTCTGTCTGATTTCCTTTTTTTTTTGTTTTGTTTTGTTTTTTTCTTCTCTCTTTTTTTTTTCTTTTCCTTTCCAAGTGAGCAACAATATGACTGTCTAACGCATGCCTTATTTAGCCTCTCCTGCAAGGATGACCTAGCCAGATACATTTTAATAATGCTTCAGTGTAGAAGGTGTAAACTCTTTCGGGCTTGATGTGCTGTGAATGTGGCTTTGCCCCTGTCCCCGCCGGCCCAGCCGAGCGGGGCCGCATGCGCCATTTTCTACTCCCGTAGCTGTCCCCGGCGCCGCTCCGGCCGCACCCGCCACCTAGCCAGACTTTTGTAAAGTACAGCAGAACTACGATGATTATACAGTCTATATTTATATCGGGGGGGGAGGGAGGGAACCAAAAGTAATCGTGTTTCATTTCGAAGCTGCTGATATTCATTCCTTACTGTATGGCTGAGAGGGGAGAGAGAAGTGAGAGATGTTGAAATGACATTAAGGGCTTAACCTGTAGAGCGTGGGGTGTCCTGTGTGGGCGTTGGAGCTGGGAGGGTTCCACGTGGTGGTGGTGGTGGAATGCAGTTGGAAACAAAAACAAACCTTCAGTTTATAAATATATATATATGATTGCTTTTTAAGTGATTTTTTTTTTTGTTTTGTTAAATCATGTAAATTCTCAAATCCTTTTGCACTGATGTGTTCGACATATTCTTGTACATTCAATTCAGGCAAACTTTTATAATTTTTTTTGTTTTGTTTTTGTTTAAATGATGAAATGTTACAGCATGGTGATATTCTATGCAACTAGTTATTCCTCTTTAGTTTGACACTGTAATTTCTCATGATTTAAAGATTGTAGAAATAGACCTACCAGGGTTCTCATGATGTGCGTAACTGTAGCTGCATGACCTCGTGTTCTGTGTATTTGTTGAAGTGCAATGATGTATAAAAAGTGGATTCACCTGTTTTTAAAAATAAAACACTGACAAAACCCTTGTGAGTTGTGTTTTCCACCGTTTAATCCCAAACCATGTGCCCCAGCACGGGCTCTCCCGGGCTGTGTGTTCCACACATCCTCAGCTGCTGCTCCTCAGCCTTCCGTGAGCTTCTGCAGTTCCTTCTCCACGTCCTGCACAAACGCAGGGAAGTGCTGGTCCATGAGGCAGAGGCGGATGAAGGGCCCCAGGTCCTGCGCGCGCCACGCCGTGTGCTGATACGCGCCGTGCAGCTCGGCCCTGCCGCTCAGCACCGACTGCGGGGCACAGCAGGTGGGTAGCAACAAGGTATGGCCACGTTTTCCTTTGCTACTAGATAAAGGTGGAGCTGCCCTGTTATAGTGTTATTCTCTTGTGAAGAGAAGGCTCCAGGGAGACCATAGAGCCCTTTCAGTCCCTAAAGGGGCTCCAAGAGGGCTGGAGAGGGACTTGGGACAAGGGCCTGGAGGGACGGGACAAGGGGGAACGGCTTCCCACTGACAGAGGGTAGGGTTAGATGGGATATTGGGAAGGAAATCTTCCCTGGAGCTGCCCTGTTATAGTGTTATTCTCTTGTGAAGAGAAGGCTCCAGGGAGACCATAGAGCCCTTTCAGTCCCTAAAGGGGCTCCAAGAGGGCTGGAGAGGGACTTGGGACAAGGGCCTGGAGGGACGGGACAAGGGGGAACGGCTTCCCACTGACAGAGGGTAGGGTTAGATGGGATATTGGGAAGGAAATCTTCCCTTGAGTGTGGTGAGGCACTGGCATGCCCAGAGAAGAGAAGCTGTGTCTGCCCCATCCCTGGAAGTGTTCAGGCCAGTTTGGATGAGGCTTGGAGCAACCTGGGCTAGTGGAAGGTGTCCCTGTCTGTGCCAGGGGGTGAAACAAATTGGTCTCTAAGGTCCCTTCAACCCAAGTGAGTCTGTGATTCCGTGACTGGTATTTTCAGACCAGCTCTGACTGCAGAATCCATTGCTGCAGAGTGGAGAATGCCAGAGCCATTCGTTTGGATGTTGCCTCTGGGTATTTATTTGCTCGCAGTGTGTTGTTCGTTCTTATGCAAATGTGGTGATTACACCACCAACTACCTGGTTTTGCAGCTTATTTCCCGGCTCAGATCATTACACAGATCCTGTGCTGCGTTGGTGTAGATGATGGGAGGACATTTACCAGATGTGTACAGAACCCCAGACAGCTCCTCCTCCCTCCATGCCCGACAGATTCAGCCACCGCATCTAAACAGTACATTTGTATGTTTTACCTGTGCTAGCTGTGCTAGAGATCTTCTTTCTCCAAGGCTGCTGCAGGAATCTGGGAGAGGCTCATCTGGCTAGAAAACATCAAATGCAAATAAGGGCTTGTTCCCAAGCTGTGTGAGGATGTGCAGGGGGGGAAGCAGTTCCATTTTTAGAGCTGACAGGAAGGGAATGTGCTCAGCTACCTTATCCAGTAAAGAGGCATCTTTTAATGGAACCTGCATGCACATCTGCTCAGGGCTGTAAAATGAAAGGCAAGGAACAGTGGGCCTGTAGTTACACTGCCATGTCTGAATTCAGGGGAGCTTTACACCTTCAGAAAAGCTGTGTGAATGCTCCCAGGAGCACACTGCTTCCTGCCCGGGGGGCTGAAGGCTCCAGAGAGCAAATATCTAAGAACGAATCACCCTCAGAAACACTGTTCTGCCTTTTCCATTTACCTCAGGTCTTTGTCTGAGGGGAGAGGGGAAGGATTCTGTTCCCTCTCTGAGATTGCTCTTGAATGTGGCAGGTTAAGCTCAAACTGTAAACATGCAGTTGTAGTAATTACTAACACTAAAACCAGGAGCAGCTGAGCATAAAAAGGAGACAGGATTCAGGGTTACTTCTTGGCTCTGATCAGTGTTTTACCCTGTGCAATTCATTACGAAGTCTGTCTCCCAGTTGGTATAGATGCTCTGAGTTACAAAACCCTTGTCCTTCCCAGCTCTACCACCGATTGTCTGTGGTTACTTACCCCCCACTGCTCCGTGCCCGTGCCCTGGGGGTCCTGGCTGAGGCTCTGTCCCTCAGCCCCTTGCACAGGGAGGTACTCCATCAGCTTCCCAATACAGCTGCAGCAGTGCTCCAGGGCCTGCTCCTTGGAATTCCCTCCGAACTGCACACGGAACATGCGGCACTTGTTCTGCTAAGAGCCCAGAGAGAAACTCTGTTTACTGTGAACCCCTCGAGCTGTTGTGATTGAATTAAACCCCTGTTTGTGGAAGTTAGGCAGAGGGTGACAGGTTTTAGGATTGCTGCACCAGCTTCAAAACAAAAGAACAAGTTTTCCATGCTGGATTTTTCACTTTTCCCAGCAGCTAAAGCAGAAGGTTGTGATTCCCAATTTGAAAACCAGTGCAAGAAAGAGGTGAGCAGAGCCACCTGCTACTACTAACTAAAGGTTTAGCCAAGTGGATACACCTTGCTATGACAAGTTTTTGCATGTATAGTAGGGAAATTAAGTTTTTTTTGTTGCTGCAGGTAACATGTACCTGTAAGAATATGCCACCTCTGAACAGTTATTGTGACAAAAAATGCATGAGATTACAGTAAGCAGAGGTTAACTCTGGAATCTGAAGTTGTGGGAATATATGTTCCAGTCAGGATTTCTGTTCCTGATGCATCAAACCCAGCCCTAGCTGGGCTGACCCCAGTGTAGGTTGTTGGGCTGCATCAGGAAAGATATTTTTAAGTGCAGGAGGTGCAGCAAACTGCCCTGGGATGGGACAGGGAGAGCCTGTGGTGCATGGATAAGCCTGGTCTTGGCACCTTTGGCTGGTGTAAGGCAGAGGTGTGTTGAATGTTTAGCCAGTGAATTAATGGGAGCTCAAAACTTCAGCAGTTTTAAGGACTAGAAGAGCAGCAAGTTCTCCCTGGCCCAGCCTGGCTCATGGGGACACCCTGGCAGTGTTCAGGGCCAGGCTGGATGAGGCCTTGAACAACCTGATCTAGTGAGGAGGTGTCCCTGCCCATGGCAGGGAGGGTTGGGACTAGATGATCTGTAAGGTCCATTCCAACCCTTACATTTTATGCCAACCCTTACATTTTATGATTCTGTATGAATGATCATCTGACTGAGGCTTCAGCATCAGAACCATCACCACTGCCCAGACACACTGCCAAGCTGCTGTTACACCAGGACAGCCTTCATCCCAGAGCTCCCCAGCTCAGGGCTGAGGCAGCTCTTCCTGACAGCCTCTGTGTTTATGTGCCTGTTATCTAGAGATGCTTGTATCCCACACAATGATTTTTAGGGCAGTGTCAGCATTAAAGCTTGTCTCAGTGCTTTGTAAAGGGGAAAATGTCAAACTGATGTGAAGTGTAGCACTCACTGTACCAGTGCCCAGTCGTATTTCCTCTAATTAACTGAGATGTTGGTGTAACTGGGGCAGCTGCACAGCCCCAACCACTGAGCTGTGGGATGCCAGACAGGTGAGCTCTCATTAAAATGACAGAAAGGGAACTTGGCTTGAGTTCCTTTGGAGCTGTTCAAAGATTGCTTGTTTTAGTTACCCCTACAACTCCCAGATCAGTTTTCAGTCTGAGTTATTTGTACTCCCTCATGTTTTTTCACAGGAACTGGTACACACTTCAGACTGCAATTTAGAAACAACAGTAGACTGAAAAACAAACATTTTTCCTTTGTGGAAAGAGAGCTGAGATGATGTCAAGGTTTAGCATAAACTGAGTACTGCGCAGCTACACTTGAACCATGTAAGAGCTAAAGTGTTAAAGAACCCTGAGGTCACCTGGCTCATCAAATCTGCAGCTCTTCCATGCTGGGGCAGAGTTCAATGAAACAATATGAAGGGAAATGAATTATTACCAGAAAATTTAGAATGTTCATCTTGCTCCTGCTGATAGTTCAGAAACCTCACTCTGCTAGCTAAGAGTCCACAGTGCCCTACTAAAATTGTATTTCTTAAGTAATGAGTAAGTTTGACTATAAATGCAATATTAATGACTTACAAAACCCAAAGAGTACAAGGTAAATCAGAAATTTATCAGAAAAATTAGCATAGGAGCTACAAACACCGACAGCATTTAAGGAATGGCTTCAGCTACCGTTTAGGAGATGAAGGAGAGAAGCTGTGTGGCAGAACCACTGCAGTGCCATGGATTGTTTCAGTTGTGAATTTATGGTAAGTAAACATTTAGATGCACCAAATTAATTTCAGACCACGTTAATATTCCTCCTTGCCTGAACTGCCCCTCAGAGCTGTGTTAAGCCTCAGAGTGACTGTGGTGTTGGTTTTGTGCTCGTGGTGAGGTGCAGCAGAATCCCATAACGCTGTGCTGGGGACTGGGACTCCTCCCAGCTAATGACTGCACCAGTGTGGAGGTTGTCTGCAGCACAGTCCCTGTGTTCCAACAGTCTGACACAAGTCACAGCACAAAGGTGTTCTGGCTTTGGGCACAACCTATGAATTTCAGGCCAGTTTCAGATACTTGCATGCCTTATTCCCAAATTTCTTCTATTTAACCAAGGTTTATTATGTTTGCTTTTCCCTTGTAATTAGTAGGTATCCTCCCGCTGTGAACTAGATTGCTTGGTTTCTAACATCCCACAAAGAAATAGTTATGCATCTTTCAGAAAAGAAATCAATTTTTGCAGTTTTCATCTCCTCTGGATGTTGCTGTGTCTGTAATGGCAATAACTCCATGTGTACCAGAGTGCCAGAACACTGAAATGTTTTTATGCCTCTGTGAAAAGAGCAAAGAGTTCAAACTGCTCTCTAGCAGCTACTGAACAGAGGGCTCTTCATCTTGTTCCAGAATTCCTGTTTCTGTCTCAGAGGTGAATTCTCTGGTCAGCAGAGAGAGTTAAACTGGAGGCAGTTGTGTCTGCTGAAACAATAAAGCTACAAACTCTCAGGGCAGAAGGGAGAGCTCTTCTCATTCCAGACAGGCTCGTTCCTGACAAACCTGGGGAGCGCTCAGTGTTGATGAATAAGAAGCTTCTCCCAGTTCATCTAAAAAAACAGAGGTTTCTACATAAATTGGTAACAAGTAAGTGCCATTTGTTTACTTATAGGCTAACCAAGCACTCACCACGAGATCTGAGGGAAGCCCAGAAACCTCCATCCCTTTGGTTGCCTTGGCACCCAGCACCTGGAGCCCCAGCCTGCTGCTGTACCGGGGCCACAGAGTGCCTAAATAATGGTTTGTTTGGATAGTTTGTTTGCCAAAGTGAAGTCTGACTCAGGCGTAGCACGGAAGAGATTCACTTAATCTTTCTAATTGCTACCCATGGCAGATATACTCTGACACTGAGAGCAGGCTGAAAAACTAAACATTAGCAGTTACAGAAGACATGAAGATGACTCAATCCATTCTTGTTTAATATCTAGAGTAAAAAAACCCCCAACATTCTAATGTACACAGATAATTTACAGTATCTCAGAGCTGCTGGTTTAGTTTAGCCAGTGTTAAGAAACGTTATGCAGAAGTGTGTTGGCTGTGGGTGATGCTCAGTGCAGCTCAGCTCACCTGTGCCCGTGCCTGGAGCAGCAGACAGTCTGCTCTCCTCACTATCCGCAGCCACTTGTGGGAGTCGATCAGTGAAAAGCCTTCCTGGAATAAAGCAGGACACAAATCACTTGCACAGCAAACATGCAACACTCAGGAGTACCTGCATCACTTACAGGTTATAATTAAACCCCTGATGAACATCAGCATCTGCATATGTGCAATTTTTATATCTGCCAAACAATTGCCACTACGGAATTTTTACTACAGTAGGGATTAAATCTGTAGCTCGAGTAACACCACGTCAAGGTATGTTCTAATTTCCGTATCTAGTTTATATTCGTGCGTGCTCTGAAGGTCTGGATGCAATGTAGGATAAAGCAGCTGCAATTGGCGCTTGGAATTCCTCCCTGTCCGCTGAAGTTGCCTGAGAGGGCAGCAGAGGGCAGGCGATCCCGGGGAATGGCACAGCTCCTGCTCATCCCGGGCCGGGGAGACCTGGAGAAACAAGCAGCTGCTCTGATAATTTGATAGAGATGTTGTCATACTCCAGTTGATTCACTGTCAGTCTCTTCAAACTAGATGGTCTGCTCAGCATCCCAGAACAACACCCCAGGAAGGTGGTAATATCATATAGCAACTGCATTTGGAGCCAGGAGTTAGCAAAGTCCAGGGGAAAAAACCCAAACCAACACACAAATTTTAGGGTGCCTGTTCTACCTGCGCTCACAATGCTTTCAGTGACCATGGCTTTGGCTCAGGCTGCTTGTTCAGAGAGGTCCTAAGGGTCAGGAGCCACAAGTTGTGTCCATCCTGGACCACCAGCAGCACTTGCCACAGTCACTATCCATCTTGGGGAGGTCCAGGCTGGGAAAACATCTGCCATTCTCTTTTGGCAGGAGAATCACCTCAGTAAGACTCCGTTCCCTTGCACTGGGTTTATAGTCTATGCAGGAGCTGCATCTAGATTTTTTTAACTGCACTTTAAAGAAGAATGTCTAGAGCACTGAGGAGTTGAACCAGAGGTAAACTGGATCACAGCACCTTCCATGACAGACTCCAGAACGTCAGACAGCAATTAAGTATCGTTCCCAAAAGATCTGGGGTCAGAACTCGCCTCTGCACTGTCAAACCAGGTGCTGACAGCAGGTAGGAAGGGCTAGTCCCTTGCAGTGTGTGTCTGTACTCCTGAGGGCAGGAGACCAGGAATACATCACTGGGTGAGTGATGGGAAGCAAGTGGAACTGAGCCCCCAACTGCTGGTAGTGAAGCAATTCCACTATCCCATTCCTTCACCAGGCCACTTTCACTTGTGGCCACTTGTGCTTGCTCTGATCATTTCAAGCAGTTTCTGTTTTGGAGACACACCAACTGTGTTTGTTTAAATATAGCTGTTCCCATAGCCTGTTTTTATAGTGCTTCTCCTTTCACTGTAGCTGAAGGTTGAACAAATGTTGTCTCCTTAAAATAATAACTGTTTTCAAAGAAATCATAAAAGATAGCCACTGTTTAACGTTCCTACCAGCTATTTTATTGATGTTTCCCCGGTTGTCCTCTTTTTTATGTCCTGTTTCTGAGGAAAAACAAGCTAGGAAAAAAACCAACATTCAGAATGTGTATTTACATACTCCTAATTATTCAACTCTAAGCCCAAAATTTGATTAACTGAAATTTAATTTAAGTTCAATTAACTGAAGAACAAAGCAGAAACTATTTCCTTTCCTCTTGCACCTTGGGTTGATTGTAAATTGCCAAGCAGAAATAAATAACTAAGGACAGCTAAATGAGAATCAAAAACTCAGTGCAGCCCCTGAGCAATGAACCAGACCTGATGTGGTAGGAGCAACTGCCTGAAAAGGGACAGGGAAGGGTTTAGGCAAACTCAGGTCTGCAGAACTACTCAGACTGAATCCACTGTTTGTATCAGTAATAGTCATTGCAGTCAGGATTCTCCAGATTTTCCTCTGTTCTGAGCAAGTCAGGCAAACGTTGTACCATGTTAAGGTCTGTTCTCTTCCTTGTGGCTTTTCCATATTGGCTCACTCAGCACAGACTGTATTTGAGGCTGCTTGAAGTAGGACAAGATTCTTCTTAACAATGACAATTCTCTCTTTGTCAACAGTGAAAGAGTTATGAATCCCAGGCTGGTTTGGGTTGGAGGGACCTTAAAGCTCATCAAGCTCCACTCCCTGCTGTGGGCAGGGACACCTTCCTCTAGCCCAGGCTGCTCCAAGCCACATCCAACCTGGCCTGGAACACTTCCAGGGATGGGGCAACCTGTGCCAGTGCCTCTGAAGTCAGGAAGAGCACAACAGATCTGTGCCTTGTCTCACTGCTCGAAGTTGGGAGGGTCTCTGCCAACACCCAGGAGCTGGTGTGGGGCAGAGCCTGGGAACTGCAAGGCAATACATTGAGATTACAGTCCAGCTGTGCCTTTCCAGAGATAATGAATCGACTCTCTGTCTGCTCTGGACACAGGCAGTGACACAGAAGAAAGCAGCAGTCCCTCTGGATTGGTGCTGACAGAGCAGAGAACAGAGCAGCTGTGGTCCCTGTTCCCTTGAGCAGGCAACATCCATAGCTGTTTTCCAGTCAGAGCTGGGCCATGAGCAAAGCCAGATGGCAGTGTGAGATTAATCAGAACGTAGACAAAAAGGCAGCCTTGACCTGGGCAGGGACACCAGAGCTCAGATGTTTAGAATGAGAAGAGCTAAATGGCAGCACTTCACTGAGGTTGATCCTCGAAGTTCAGCCATGCACATACTCATGGCATTCTCCACGACTGGAAGAAAACTGTAGTAAAGGAAAACAGTTTCCTACATCTGTGACAAAAATGCAAGTTCCTCAGAGGGAGGACTCCGAGTGGAATGAAGCTGAAGCAGAAAACAAAGCAAGAGGTTTCCCAGATATTTTGGAAGCAGCAAGATGTGACCATGCTTTCCCAAGGCAGAGCAGGCAGCAGTGCAGCCTTGCAGCCAGCTAGGAAATAGTTTGGTTCTGACTTCACACTTCAGCAGAGAAAGCTGCTGGGTGATGAGTCTGTGAGCTGTGCTGGGAGGTATTGCATGTTATGTAGGAATATTTTTATTATTGTATCATCTAGAAACCCTGTGGTGCTAAGCCACACAGGAACAAGACTATTTTATGTTAGATTGCAAGGCCTTTAGACAGCCCCACCTGAAGTAAAAGTGACTATACATTTCTTTAGGCAGCTCTACCTCAAGTAAAAATGAATCCATGTTTAAGAAATGTTTGTGTAGCAGTTCAGCTATGCTGCTTGCAGCAATTACTTTGGATTCGCTCATTCACCAGCCAGAGGCTTCCAAACAAAACTGAACAATGTGTGAACAACAATAGTTTAGGAAGAAACTTTTTTTGGTTTTTGGTCGCAAATATTATATACAAACCCCCAAAATGCCACAGGGAGAGACACACATTCTCCAGTTTGGGCTGCACTTTAACAGCTCATGAAATGCAAATACAACAGTTCTCAGAGTTCCCAGCTAGAATGGATGTATGCACTGTACAATGCTATGGATTAGGGACTCAGCTGGGCATCCCACAGACTGGGAATTTTGGTTTTTGGTCGCAAATATTATATACAAACCCCCAAAATGCCACAGGGAGAGACACACATTCTCCAGTTTGGGCTGCACTTTAACAGCTCATGAAATGCAAATACAACAGTTCTCAGAGTTCCCAGCTAGAATGGATGTATGCACTGTACAATGCTATGGATTAGGGACTCAGCTGGGCATCCCACAGACTGGGAATGTTGCAAGAAACTCAGCAGGAGATCAAATGAGTCCTATTGTATTAATTAATCTCTGCACAGCTGCCAGAGTGCTGCTGGCTGTGACTGAAGCAAGATGGCAGAAAAGCTAAAGGCCTCAGATAACATCCTGTTTGGACGCAGGCTGGGCAGCACCAGGGGACACAATTCCCTGGAAAACAGCAATCTGCTTCCAAAGGTTCCAGGGAAGCCTCTGTGACAATTCCTTCAACCATTCATTTCCCAAGGCAAGTTACCAAGACACAACTGGGCAGCCAAACTAGAGCAGTACAGCTCAGGGTGCCCTGGCAGGGCCAAAGCAGAGCTTTGGGAAAGGATTCTGTGGGGAAGGGTAAGATGCTCTGAGCACCTCACCAGCAAGCTCACTGCACAGAACCAGTCAGGGTGGCTGAGATAACCTGCCACTTTTCCCAGCTGGAGAGAGCCACTGCCTATCCAGAGCTTCACGCCCTGGCTCTGCTCACCATACCCAGCAGGGAAGGCACTGTGAGAAAGCTTTCCAGAAAAAACACTTACCATCTAGGGTTCATTTACTCACTGAGCTTGGTTTCATTTATTAAGCTCAAATACCAACATTTTGCACCTCTAATATTCCGGGCAAAAGTGAGATGTTTTCAGAAAAGAAGGAGAATTGGAAAACATGTTTATAAGTGTTTGGATGGTGACAACCTTGATAAGGATTTAGTTATTAATAGGTTATTACAGCAGAAGAAACTGTGCATGCTTGAAACATGACATACAGATCCTCAATCAAATGCTTGCATACATCTGAAAAATAGCAGTTTTTAACTCATTGTCTTCCCAAAAGAGACTGTGAGTTGTCATTTTACACTTAACTTTGTTAAGTTCCAACTTAACAAAACCCCAAATAATACCCAAAGGAGAGAACCTGTAGAGTGAGGGAAGCAGAAAGTTGTCCCTGCAAAAATTTCCAACCCCACCAACCAAGGCAGCCAGCCAGGACACTAACTGGAGTAAGGAATAAAAGCATATTAAGCCCTGCATTATCTTTTTACATGCAATTTTTTTTCAACCCAAATCTCTTAGAATCTTAAATCTCACTATTAAGCTTGTTTGATTGTGGAAAAGAGCACATGAGGGTTGAACTTATCAAACAGAGTGCTCCATCTGTACAGGGGCAGGAAAGCCAAAGGAAGCAGGAAACACTGGACAGACACAGCCACCCTGGAGGGGACTCTTTGGAGCAAATGTTGAGTGCAGCAGCACATGTTTCCCACCAGCTGGGTACAAGCCACAGCCCCTTGAAGGAGTGAGGAGCAAAGGTAAGCCCCTGACTCCAGATTGGGATTACACTGTCAGAACCTGATCTGTTGGTTTTTTTCCTAAACTATAGTTTAGAACAGTGACACTTGTCCAGGGACTGACCCAGAGAGGGGAACAATGCCCATGAGTTTAGCTGGCTAAAGCTCTTCAGGGCATCCCATTCTTTAACCCCTGATGCAAAATATTGATGTCCCTGGCTCAATGCCATACATCAAACCCTAACTTTAGGGTTAGTCTCCACTAACAGACATCACTAATCTCAAAAACCCATTCTGACAGCTGGGTTTAGAGGAACTGGAGCAAGAGAAAAGGAAAGATCAGAAGCCCTTTGTATCACATAAAAGGGGAAGGCAATGCAGGAGGACACTCAGCTTGTCCAAACAATCACACCAACAGCACATGTCGAAAGAAACTAAAGCTGAAATTTTTGTGGTACTAAGTAAGTCAACAAAACTTCTGCTCTTTCAAACAGCAATCCCAGGACCTTTAATCACCCTCAACCCTCCTCTAGCTTCACAGTGTCCTAGCACTGAGCAGCATTAGCAACCTGCTCACTCCCCAGGTTCCTGTCAGTTTATTGCCCAAGGCACTGGTGTGAATATCCTGCCAAGACTGTGGTGCCTGTGATTCAGGCACTGCAAAGAGCATCAGGAACATCAGAGTCTGCTGAGCACTTGCCTAATTAATGAGTTAGAATCCACCATACCCTAAGCACCGGGAGCTTATTAGGAGTCATGAGGGGACCAGGAGGGCACTAAGGACATTTAGTCTACACTTCAAAAGATCAGGTCACAAATCAATTACTCTGGATTAATTTTATCCTATTAAGCAAGTCCTCTTCACAATCTCAATGTGTTTAATTGTAGGACACTATGAATTCTAGCACCAGAAATAACTGCGCTGCGTAAAACACCAAAATATAATTTTCATGATGTGTTGGTTCCACGAGGGGAAAGGAAATAAGAGCTGTGGTAAACAGAACATGCTGTATCTTGAGTATGGCCAGAAATCAACAGAGATGCTCTGAAGATATTCCTGTAAAATTCCATTGTCTACAGCATGCAAGAATGAGATTTTTCTGCCATCAAATACGCAGTCTGTTGGGCAACACTGCAACAAAAACAGGTCCTAAAAATATGTTATGTAATTTAATTCCAAACGAAGAACTTTGTTTAAAAAACCAGAACAAACCAAACAAATCCAAACACTCTATAATTTGCATTACACATCAGGGAGTTTTATGTTCTGTGCTCTGAAGTTCCATTTATCCTCCTCTTCATTCCATTTGGCTGATCTCAAGGAGTAAATTGCATTTTGCAAACAGTTGTTTCTGTATTTATTAAAAAACCACAACAGTTGTTAGGATATGTGACTATTTTATTGCTATTTTATAAATATTGTTCTTAGAAACGGCTCATAAAAGAGCCACAGTTTCCCTGGACCCTAAATAACTACCATTCTTTAGGGAAAAGGTTTAACTCTGCTGCTTTAAGGAAATAAAAAGGACTAAGAGAATACATAAATACATCCATCATAGAGAAAATATTTTGATAGCAAGTCAGAAACTCTTACATCTTTTTCCCAGTACTGGTCACATTAATCCAGCCGTCAATGAAGTAAGAATTTCCTTTTCTACACAACTTTCACCTCAGTTTTGTGCACGTGGAATTGTAGTGCCCAATCACATGTGCTCAGGGAAGTGCACCCAAAGGAACTGACAAACAGGTTGTAAAACCAATTCTGTGTAACTTTTCTCTAAGTGTTACTGTCAGCCTCAAGGTTGGCATAGAGGCATTGCCAAAATAAATGTTTCAAAAACTCCAACCCAAACAACTTTTTATTTTTCTTTTAGCCTCTCAGTATTTACTTTTGGTCACATTTACCAAGGATGTCTGTTCCACCTCTCTGCTGCATTATGTGATAACTTCTGCAGTATCTCAGTGTCCCAGAGAAACTGAAACAGCTCTGATAGATCCCAGAAATTCCTCATCTGGCATTTCGTGCAAGGCAGCTGCCTGAAAGCTTCACTAGCCACTAAACCCAAGAGCTGCAGGAAAGTGCTTTTCTCAGCCAGGTCTTTACAGAGCTTTCCTGACACTTCATCCCCTCGGACAGCAGACTTTGATCTGCCCCGGTGCAATCTGTGCCAGGCACAGGCACTGAGGGGCTGCAGCTCTTGGTTGTGCCTTTTGTGCTCTTACCTTAGTTATTAAAACTTGTAGTTAGCCTTTATATGGTTATTTTGAGGACATTTACAGAGTAATGAAAGTTACTTGTGACTGACTGTTAGAGCCATTTGATGGGGACCCTGAGAACAGGATCAGCCCCTGGAGAGGTGAATCTTTCCAAGCAGAATTTGCTAAGAGATGGCAGCAAGTCTCATTTCTGTCTGGATTCTCAATCATTCCATCCCTTCTTCTTATTTGACACAACTGCTAAAATACTTTCCATGTTCCGTTTTTACCTTGTCCTCACTAAGCATGAGCCAAGTGCCATGTCTTGGGTGAGGGCTCTCCACACTGACAGCTCTCAGTTAGCTCATGCATTACCTACTCAGCATTCCTAGCAAGTCCAAAAAATTCAAGGATATCCTTGGTTTCCCCCTACACTTACATTTCTGTACATTTAAGACCTGTTAAGAGGCACAGAAAAACTAATTTAAACCTTATACATATTTAAAGCTGTGACATACACTCTGGATTAAAAAAGCTTTATTATCTTTACACTGCAGCATCTTGCAGTGGTCTCTAAGAGCTTCCTAATAGATTTATCATCCAGTTCCTACTCGTTATCATCACTGAGTACTGGTGATATGCACTGAACACACTTCATTCCACCTTCCACCAAGGCCTTCTCTGTCATGAGTACCAAACCAACTCCTCCTAGTCAGTTTTTCTTTTAACCTCTCTGGTGTCATTGTGAAATCTTTAGTTTAGTGGCTGGTTGTGCTTAAGAAGGTACAGGCTGCAGGAAAATCAGTTGACACAGGTTTGAAGTTGTCATTTTGTCTCCAGGAATGTGTGTTAGATCACATTATCCAACATTAAAAAAAACCCTAGGTTTGAAGTTGTCATTTTGTCTAATGTGATGTGTGTTAGATCACATTATCCAACATTAAAAAAAACCCTAACCCTTTGATAAACCAAATTATCAAACCAAAACCCAATTGATAAACCAAATTATCAAACCAAAAACAAACCCTTTGATAAACCAAATTATCGCACCAAAATACTAACAGGTCACTGGCAAGAAACTGTAGCAAATCTTATAGGGAATTATAGTTTTCTCTATTTCTCAACAGTGTGTTCTCTCACTCTTTTTAGGCAGAAGAATCATGAAAACTGACCTATCTTTCAACACTAGCAGCACTTAGCATTAAGTCTTAATCTAGATTTTTAGGACCACAGACAGAATTATGACCCTCAGTGTGAAATAACATATCCAGCATTATTTATTCTGATAGATGAGGAGAGAAAGCAGCACAGGAGAATTACCATAAGCAAACCAAAAGTGGCAGTTTCCATGCAGTGGGAGACAAGCTGAAGCTGAGGAGAGAAATGGAATTACCACTGATGGTAACCTGAAAGGAGAAACGTGCTTTATGCAGGAGACACTTACCAGAACTGTTCGTCCTTGGGAAATAAAGAAATGGCCAGACACCACGATGGTCAGGGTCAGAGGACCTGATTCTTCATTTGACTCAAAGACCTTGAAAAACACAGACAGAGAAAAATCTGTACGTGGAATTCCAATTCCCAGTGCAAAACAGAAGGTTGCAAAGGTGGGTGTGAGCAGCCAGGTGTACCATCCACCTCACACTCACACAACCTGCCCTCCACTCCCACAGACAGGAGTTTTTACCAGTTATACATCTGTACCACTTTGAACAACCCTCTGGACTCTTCCAACTTGACCTCTAGTTTTAACACCACAGGTCAGTGCTGAATGAAGAATCACAGTGAGCTACTAACTATTCCACCTCTGATGTGTTGATGTGAATAGTTCATAGAGCAAAATCTCCCCCAATTCCTGCACTGAGCTCTGCATTTGCAAAAACACCTGGAGAGGCCTCAGCCAGCCCTTTTGCCTCACAGTGGAGCCAGTTACACACCCCCAGTGCCCACCCTGCACCACCAGCACCTTCCAGGAGATGTTCTGCCCTTCATCCTCCTCCTCCCTCGGGGGCAGGAAGCGGCCGTAGCGCTGCAGGGGCCACGTCCTGGAGCTGCCAAGGACAGAGGTGTCGCTGGAGGTTCCAGATGCTGCAGCTTGTCCCTGCTCTGAGCTGCCAACGCTGCCTGCAGCCATCAGCAGTGAGGGGCTGGGGGGCCAGGGGCACTGAGGGAGTGCTGAGGGGCAATGAGGGCACTGACAGGGCTGAGGGGGCACTGAGGGAGAACTGGGAGGGCACTGAGGGGGCACTGAGGAGGTGCTGAGGGATGGCTGAGTGGCAATGAGGGATGGCTGAGGGGCCCTGAGGGGGCAATGAGGGAGCTGTGGGAGCACTGAGGGGCAATGAGGATCACTGAGGGGGCACTGAGGGAGCTGAGGAGCACTGAGGGAGTGCTGAGGGGCAATGAGGGAGCTGAGGAGCACTAAGGGCACTGAGGGGGACTGAGGAAGTGCTGAGGGAGCACTGAGGGAGCACTGAGGGATCGCTGAGGGGTAACGAGGGGAGCTCAGGGAGCACTGAGGGGCAATAAGGATCACTGAGGGATCACTGAGGGATTACTGAGGGGCAATGAGGATCACTGAGGGATTGCTGAGGGGCAATGAGGATCACTGAGGGAGCGCTGAGGGAGCTGAGGGGCAGTGAGGATCACTGAGGGCGCGCGGCGGGAATTGTTGACCAATCAGCGTCTTGCCCCTCCGCGCCCTCACAGCTCCCTCTCGGGCGGCCGCGGGGCCATAACCTCCCCTAGCTCTTACAGCCTCATTCGCGTTCCCGCAGCCTGCCCCGCGTTCTTACAGCCTCATTCGCTGAGGGGCAGTGAGGATCACTGAGGGCGCGCGGCGGGAATTGTTGACCAATCAGCGTCTTGCCCCTCCGCGCCCTCACAGCTCCCTCTCGGGCGGCCGCGGGGCCATAACCTCCCCTAGCTCTTACAGCCTCATTCGCGTTCCCGCAGCCTGCCCCGCGTTCTTACAGCCTCATTCGCGCTCCCGCAGCGCCGTGCCGAAGGGGAGTGCGGCTGTGAGGGCCACAGGAGCGGGTGAAGCCGCAGCCGCCTCAGCGCTGCCCTCACGAAGTGCCTGCACGCCGGCAGCGATGTCAGCACCGAGTCTTCCTCAGGTGAAACACGACGAGACGCTGTGGGAACGCCCGGTTGTCCTTCTCATCTTGGTGTGGTGCTCGCAGCACAGTCTCACCAGGACTTTCGTGGGGTCTGTCACAAGGCTCGCTCAGGGTGTGTTGGTTTTAGCCAAGGTGGGCTAAAGGCTAGATGGAAATTGCACTCCTCTCCTCACTTTGCTCCCTCCCTGCTGTTAGGTTGCTCCTCCAGTTATGTCTTGTTACACTTTCTCTGGTCCAGGAGTGACTGTGAAAATGACTCAGGTATTCCACTTATAGTACAGGTCTTGGGACATTTATAATGTCCATGACAATGTGCATGAGCTGGTCAAGGTCATTGAGGGGGCTGGTACAATTCAGGATTGACCTAAATGGGCTTTTGGGTGCTTGGCACCACTAGCCACAGGTAAACCAGCTGCATGCCTGAAAGTGCTGCCCCAGTGCCCTTCATTCCCAGTGCCTTCAAATCCCACTATCTGGCTTCCTGGTACCTTTGTTTCCAGTGCCTTTAAATCCCAGTCCCTTCCTTCCCAGTCCCTTCCATCTCATTTCTTCCCATGCTCACTACCAGCAGCACACACTTGCCCAAGATGAAGCTTGGCTAAATTATCATACTTAAATTAAGCAGAACAAAGAAGTTCATGCCTTTTTTTCCTGCTTTTTGTTGCCATCACAGTTTGCACTGCTGATGTTGGCTTGGCTGATATGAATGAGGTTAAAATAAAATGAGTATCTACTGTCTCCTCTGAAATAAAACCTTCAGGTACAAGGTTAACCTATTAAACTGGGATGGTTTAATCAGTTAGGCAATATTAGCTTGACATTTATGTTCTGTCCCTGTTGTGTTTTTCAGCTATGTTGCACCCCAGAGCCAGTTTAACATCCCAGGAACTATTTCCAAAGTAAACAATTTTGCAGTGTTTCCAAGAGGGAGGTATTTATCTCAACATTTTGCTGATAGGGAAACACAAGCAGAAAAGCATTAAATGACTTGACAAGGTCATCCAGAGGAATCAGTAATGAAAGAGGGAATTCAGCGTGGGCTTCCCAGCTGCCAGTTGCCTTCTCTAATCACTGCTTCCCCACGAGGATTCCTCAAATTGTGCTTGTCAAACATTCAGAATTGGGCTGTGGACTTGGGACTTTCTTGGAATCCACAGAAGCAGCTGAATGTTATTGTCAGAGAACGACAGTATGAGTGCACATAGTGAATCTATTTTCCCCTCATTCAGCTGAAAACAGCTTGTTTGCAGTGTCTGTTTTCTGTGGAAAACAGTTTGTTTCCAGTCTCTGTTTTCCAAGAGTGATTTCTGGCGGATGTGCTGAATGCCTCTGCAGCAGGAAAACAAAAGCTTAATATTTCACCAAACTCAAAATTTCAAAATATGGGTTTGAGAGAGGCAGGAGGAAACCAAGTGCATCAGATACTCACAGTAGAACGTAGGTTTTTGCTTGACTGGGGTTTGCTGGTTTGCTTTTACTTTCTGGATGTCAATGCCTTGTGCTTTTACATGTGTATAAAGTAAAATGAGCATTGTGTTAAGGCGGATACACAGGCTCTTGCTGATTCTGATTTCCTTGGGGAATTGCATGATGAGCTCTGGATTCAGAGCAGGAAGATGGTAAAAATGTTTGGGTTTTTTTTGTAAAAGGCTGCAGAGGCTGCCAGTTTTGTAAAAATTACAGAATAAAATGGAGAAGCAGGAGAGGTAAAAGATTTTAAAGTTACAGAATAAAATGGAGAAGGAGGAGAGTGGTAAAACCTGTCAGGAGTGTGACAGGCTAGATAAAATATGTTTCATCAGAGATGAGATGGCAAATCCCATCTAGGTGCTGAGGGTTTATCACTGTGGTGCACTTCAGATTTGCTTGAGACTTCTCAGATTGCACTGGTAGAAGTTAATTTTCTCCCTGTTAATAAATCAGAGAAACTCTGCCAAAAAGCAGAGATCCATGCAGGAATAGAGATCCATTCTGTTCCTGCAGCATATGGATTTGACAACCTGTTGGTAGTTGTTAGATGTGTAGCAGTTGGTTTTGGTACTGAGCATTATGCTAGGTAATCTCCATTATTGATTTTTAGTAATAACTGTGGTGATAAGAGCAACAATAAAATCATGTCACCCTGACTTTGTTGCCAGGTGTCAGTGGAGGTTTGCCACGAGTGCAGAGCATGGACTGGAGAACTCAGGCAAATTGGACAAGTAGTGTGTTAGCAAAGTCAAGGCTACCAGATGCAAGGGAAGGATAAAATAAGCATCAAAAGGTACATTTTAGAAATTCTGGAAGTTTCCCTGTGTACTGACAACTTCCCATCTGCCTCTGCCTGGCTGTGTGAAAGGGATGAAGGAGGTTCCTCCCAGTGGCTAGTGGAAATGCTGTAACCAGAATGCTGCAGTTACTGCTTTGATTTCCATAACAAACAGTGTTATGCTTTAGTTGCTTTGTTAGGAGTTGTGATATCTCTTCAGGTTCAATCCATTTATTTGTTTTTGTGTGTCTCCAGAAATTGATTCTCTAAATTCACATACTGTTTCTATCTAATGATGACACTCCTAACTTGTGAGGTATCACATACCTAAATGACACCTTCACTGGATGATCTTCCAACCCAAAGCACTCTGTGAGTCTGTGACCTTACTCCCTAAGTGACATTATCTGTGAGGGTGCAGGGCAGCTGGGGCAGCTCATGAAGCAGCATCTGGTGATGTGCACACTTAGGTATGGGACAAAAAAAGGAGCCACGTGGATCTGTGGTTTGCATATCTTAGTTGTCACTGCCATGGAGTGTGCTGGAGTGTTTCAAACTGAGCCAGGAGCTTGGAACAGGTCAGTGGATAGAGATGTCAAAAGAAGTCTTATCTGCACGAGGTGTGTGTGGCAGCAAGTGGCAGAGCCCTGTGCCAGCCCTTTGAGCAGGCAGTGCTGACAGAAAGCAGAGCTGCCCACAGAGCAGGGACAGAGCACAGCCAGCACAGCTGAGTTTGCATGCAGACCCCTGACTCCTTGTGTCTTTGGCCTCACTGTGTGCTTTGAGACTCTGCTCCATAAAGCCTCAGAATTTTCCTAGGGAAGGTCACATTTGTTCAAAGCATAATTTATTTGCGTTGCCTTTATTTCCTTTTAAGTTGTCTAACTTCAGCACTCATGGCACAGATGAAGGAGCTGCTGCCTCACAGAGTTTCCATTTACATAAAAAACCCACCCACAAACACCCTTCACTGTCATGCATCCATTCTGCTGAGTGCTTTCATTTTCCATGACCTTGAAAACATAAGGGCGTTTATTAATTAATTCAAATTTACAGCTGGGTGGAGGGGAGAATTGCAGATGGGAGATAAGCAATTTGTTGTGTGCCCCTTATTTGATGAGGATTGTAGAAGGAGAAACAGTCCAAGCCATTGCCAAGATTTCCATCCCAATCAACTGTGCTTCTCATTTAACCACTGGTTAAAGAGTGACCCTAAGCAGGAAGAGTCTGGATTTAGAGTGATTATCGTAAACTGAGTTCCTGATAGTCTTTGTTATGGACAGGAGCTGGAATTATCTCTGCTTTTAACTCTAGCACTGATTAACTCTGGATATTACCTAATGTAAGCCTAAATATACTCCTATAAACACAACAGTAATGGGAATTCTGACTTTGATAACTCTCTCTAAGCTTCTTTCTGCCCGAGTTTGTTTCTTTTCTAAAGAAAAATGCAGATTTTTCTTTCCCCTTCAGGTGCATTTGGCTGATTTTAGCAGTTCTTGCAGTGAGCTTGTAGGAGAAAATACATCCGAGTCTTTCTTTAAGTCTCAGTGCCAAAGCTGATGTCAGTGAGAGTTGTGTGCAAAGAGAGGGAGAAAATGTCTTGAACTTTTGTGCATTCTCAGAGAAGGATATTCCCTCCTCACCACCTTAATTCTGAATTCTCTTCCTAGTCTACTGGATTATCATGTGTGCAACCAAGGATTTAGTGGGGCAGGTGAATAGAGGACTAAATATGTCTAGCTGGTGTAATACAGCTGTGCCTCTTTCTGTGTGC